TTCTTATAAAGTCCCATCTCGAAGCACAACGTTTACAATAAAACAGTCAACAATTAAACAACATTTCCCTTTCAGACTCATTTGCGCAGAAGCAAAGCCAGAACACAAAAACTTATTTGATCGTATAATGTTATCATGCGCCTAACGCCTAAAAAACAGACAGTCAAGGAACTAGTGCATCAGTATGACAAACGTAACTTGTTGTTAACAAGCTGATAAAAGACAAATGAGATCCAGACGAATGCTAAATCATAAATAGAAACAACTGAAATATAAAATAAAATCCATTAAGGGGCCCCTCCCCCTCAAAAATGTTGAATTTCGTCAAAAAAAACTTGTCATTTCTTTTTTTCTCTAGAAAAGTAAGAATTATGGCTCTCATAAGCACTGCATTCGGACATGCTCTTTCTAACAAAAAAAAATTAAACCTACAGAATGAGCCTCGACAGAGAAATTTGGGGGCCCAGATGAGCTATTGTTCAGCCTTGTTTTGTGTATACCCTCTTTGATTTTGATTAAAGATGGAAAAAATTATCTCAAAAAGCATCTGGAGTGGTGGCATAAGAACAATTGCAGATAAGCCACGACCAACCGTGCTTAACCGACTCTCTCCAAACTTAATTTTAACTACCGGGTGTCCCAAAAGTCCGGCGAGAAAAAATTCTATAATAACTCCGCCATTTCTTAGCCAAACTTCAAGGTTGTGTTTTTGTTTGATAGAGAAACGTTCCAAGTTTTATTTCGTACGATTGGAAACTCTTGTTAATATTTGAAAAGATGTTTGAGTTTATTATAGTGAAATTCAGATATTTTGGGACTCGTTTTTAATAAATTATGTGCTGCAAAACTTTTTGAAAAGAACATAAATAATTTTTAATATTAAAATAAAGTAGATGATGACGGCGTTCACATAATGAAATAAGAATTTGCTTTTGTTTAAAAATGACCGGTTGGTGTAGACTTCTTTAGCTATTGTTATTCCATACTAGCATCTGGAAAAGTGTAAAAAAGTAATAAAAGCATTTTTCAGATAAAGTTAACTAATAAAAGGAAAAACTACTAGTGGAATTTTATAGGAAGAAAGTAGCCTTATAAACTGGAATAGTTTGAAAGCCTGCAATAGTATCAGACTATTGCAGAAGTCACAATCCCTATATCATGCTAATATGGAGAAATTAACTTCTTGTGGCAAAACTTTTTTTATTTAAAAAAAAGTTTTATTATTTTTCCGTACTGATCCTTTCTTACACAAAAATTTCCAATCGTATGAAATAAAACTTGGAACGTTTCTCAATCAAACAAAAAGATAACCCTGAAGTTCGGTTAAGAAATGGCGGAGTTATTAAGATTTTTTTTGTCGTTGGACTTTTGGGACACCCGGTACATGGTTAGAAAGCTCAGCTTATTTCTAGTTTTTGACCGCAAATCACAACTTTCCATGTCAGATTGCTTTTAAGATATTCAACTTTTAAAATAAGTTGATATTTTTTCGATGGAATTAGGATCAGTTACTAGAAATAAGCTGTGTTTTCTAACCATATAATTGAAATTAAGTCTGGAGAAAGTCGATCGAGCAGCTTTTATGTAGCAATTAGTCACATGTAAGCGATGACTATGTGCAATAGCTCATAAGAGAATAGAATGAAAAATGCTGTTATTCTAGACACACATTCAAAACTATCGAAAAGAACGATGATTATTATAAACAATTGCGTATATTGTACAAGAATCTAGGTATTTATTCAACGACGATTAAACTTATTTGATGAAGCCCACGAAAGTTTAAAGCAATCGCTGACTCTGCATGAGGAACATTTGGCCAATGATGGTGAACATGATGAACTTCGACGGAATATATTAAAATTCCTCTCTCAAGTTTGTGAAGCAACAAAGAAATAGCATTGTCAAAGACTTCAGAAGCTAGGTTGTTCATCGGCTCCGAAAGTGCATTTTTCAACATATTTCATATGGCGTTTTGACACATAGTTGGCTGCAGCACGTTACTGTTATCAACATTTTTTAATGCAGTTTTTCGACCTCTTCGTCGGTCGCTATAGAAAAACTACTTGAAAATTATCGTGCATATCTCTCTGTTAATGTTTATATTATCGAGGCTAATATATTGAAACAGTGAATAATATCAACAACAAAGAATTAGGTAGATCCACGACTGACTGTTTCGAGAACATAAGTGTTACTTATAGAAAAAGTTAATATACAAAAGAAATAAGACAATCATTATTCAAATAAATGTTCATATTTCTACATGGATCTAATTAACAAAATATTATCTAATTGTTCAGGCTTAAGATTGGTTCTCCTTTCTTGTATAGCAAGCCCAGCTCCCGAGAATTGTCTTTCCACGCTTGCAGAAGTAGCTGCTATTGAAAAAATACGACGAGCAAGACGAAATAAACTTTTCTTCTTGTTGATCGTTCCAGAACTTTAAGGCTCCCATTCCCCTCAAAATCCGATCTCAGTCCAGAGACACTGAAATCTGCATGAAATTTATAGCATATGTTGGAATTGTAGTGAAGATGTTGTGGTGAAATTTCCAGCTCTACACCATGATGTTTGGACGAGGTATAAAAAATATACATTTTAACACACGTCTTCGATGTCGGATAAAATTGTTTCATCTTTTCGTACACTACCAGTAGAACTGGCCTATCGGGTGCTTGATACTCTTGACGATGTAACAATTTTATGGAAAAATGCCAAATATTTCTACATGTATCAGGGCAACCGTGGACAGGTACTATCGATATCAGGTAAACGGTATATCATATCGCCCTAGTAGTTTCTTTCTGCTGACTTCAAACTGTGAAACCGAATAGTACGGATCTCATATCCGTGAGCCGATCAATCATTCATACAAACACTCACAATATTTAACTTCTTTTACGATCGAATTGGTGGCAAAGAAGCTCAATATCTTACCAAAGCACTACGACAGAACAAAGTAACATCTCTATCTTTTGGTCTTGTCAGTCATTGCTTATAACACACAGATACTCACCACATTTAACCAATCAAATACCAAATATCAATCAAATATAAGCAATCAAATCGGTCCAAAAGGAATACAACCACTTGCGAATGTCGTACAACAAAACAAAGTAATATTTCCATCTTCTTATCCTATCAATCACTCACTATTTTATGCAGACGCTCATAACACTTAGTCTCCAATACAATGGAATCGGCTCACAGGGAACTCGGTATGTTGCGAATGCTCTAAAACAGAATAAAGTAAAATTCGCACTTTCCTGTTTCACTATCGCTACCTATTTTCTCACAGACACTTATTACACTTGAATTCGACCACAATGGAATCGATGACGAAAGATCACAATATCTTGCCGATGCTCTTCAAGAAAACAAAGTAACATCCACGCCTTCTTATCCTGGCATTCATTCACTATTTCACACAGACACTCACCAAACTTGGTCTCCTCAACGATCGAATCAGTTACAGTAGACAACAAGATGTCAAGAAATTATTCCGGGATTAAAGCTAGTCTTATAAAAGTCACAAAGAAGCACGATTGTATAAAAAACTGGGATGATTTTTCAGTGATGACCTGTTTGTTAGCATATATCAATTAAATATTTGTTGTATTTGTAAAGCTAGTAATGATTCTTGTGTTCTTTTTGGTATGAGAAACATTTGAAAAAGTGGTTGATTTTGTGAGTATCTCTTTATCAAATGACGCCCTTTTCTTTCGTCAATAGTTTTCTGGCCGGGTTTAACAGGAAGCGAAATCATTTATAACACTAGAAAAGATTTACTCGAAATCGCACTGTGGTTTATTGACTTAGACTTTGTACGCAGACTCTTATTAACTAACGAAGTAGGCGTGAAAAGCAATAATATCGCACATCTGCACCTTCGTCGAACATATGTATTGAACTGTAGAAACTAGGCACGCAACAATCGCAAACTAGGAATCGCTGATTGGCACCGAACGGTTCGCTACTCAAGATGTTCGCTGCCGATCAGCGAGCCCTAGCTTGGGATGGTTGCACGCCTGATCTTGACTAAAGACAGACTGAAAGAAATAGAAGACTTTTGAAGGAACAACACTGTAAATTTTTTTGAAATTCTGTTTTATAGAAAATCGACTTAGCTAAAGCATTTTCAAACTTTTATTATTCATCCGTCGAATTTCAAACTTTTAGAAAATGCTTGATCTTCTAAATAATAGAAATTCAATTTGCTTTCCTACAGAAAATCGAAACTTGAATATCAACAGTTTATTTTCAAGAAGGTAGAAATTCATCTAGGAATTTGTATGGACTTTCCTAGAATATCGTTTATGATACTCTATAAGTTATTTTCTAGTTTACAGTGTAACCAGTGAGAAAATAGACTAAAGTAAAATGTGAGGGAATGTGTCTTCTATCGAATCGCTACCAAAGGTTTAAAAAAAACAGTTTGTCAGAGCTAAAAACATGAGAACGAAGAAACACATGAAAGAAATCTTTGATTCAAGATTTAATTGTAAAAGTACACATTCTTTCTACATTTTCATATTCACACTGACAAAAGGACTTATTGTTCTGACCATATAGAGTGGACCAAAAGTCAACAACGAAAGAATTTTAATTCCGTTCTGTTGTACTAATTTGTTTAAGTCTTTATTTAAGAATGATGTCAGTTAGTCAAATACAACAAGAAAATGTAATAACAGAACGATGCTTTATCGATGATATTAAACATGAGAGATTAATTCTTCAAATGTGTAGAATTCATACAAAGTGTGTATCATATAAACACATAATACCTAACATTACTAGTGATAAAAACTAATTTCATCCAAATATCATAATTACCCATTCTTTCCAATCTATTGATATTTACGTAGGAAGCAAAAATTTATTTTATTTACATTAATCAACTTTTAACACTTTCTCAAAGAAATTTGTTTCTCACCTGTTAGGTATAGGCTAATGTACAGTTGTGACGGATATTCAATCATCGACGTTTTTCAATTAATTTATTTCCATACTAAAATACTTTTCATTTTTCCGTCCATCAGCGTTTGCATTAAACAATACTCATGTTTAGTTATCAGCGTTTCGTACATAATATTTGCATAATAATCGGCATTTTCACTTATGGATGATATAAGGATATGAAGACTAACCAAATTTTTCATATTGTTAATCGTTTCACAAAACATAGATATTTCTTTATCGTTAATGATGCTTGAAGTCGATTCAATGAATTTAAATACAATTTCTAGACTTTGTATATTTTGAAAAGAATTATTTAATATCATTCGTACTTTGGTTAACTGATTACAATCAGATAACCCTAAATATCCAATATTATTCTTAACAGAAATATTCTGTAAACATTGAATATCCTTTATTACTAAACTTGTTAAATTTGGTACAAACAATAGAAGTTGATCAAGATAGGATATATTTTGTTGAATTTTTAAATATTTGAGATGATTTAATCTTAATTTACTTTCAGATGAAGTTTCATTTCTATCAATATTTTTAGCTGTATCTGAAATTGTAAGACTTGTTAATTTTGAAAAGTTTTCTGTTAGAATTTTAGCCAGTTCAGTGAATAATATCGGCTGAGAGAATAATTCAAACATTTCTATTTTTCTGATACTCGAATAATCATGATTAGAACTCGTATAAAGTAAAGTTGGCGAAAGTGAATGAAGGTGATATGATGCATGTGACATCGCTGGTAAAGTAAGAATAGAATAATGATTTCGTTTTTGATCAAAATTAAACACAATATTCCATTTATTGATATTTCTAAATGATTCTTCTGTTAGTGATCGATATGATGGGGTGAAACATGTCGATTTATCCATTTTAAATTCAAGTTGAAACTCAAATGTCTCTAAATCTGGAATATTTGATAACATTTCACTAATTCTTGTTCCATAGAATGGTAAGAATGCTAGTTCATATTCAAAACAATCTTCAATAGAAGTAAAACGTAGTTTATTTAAATAAATCATATTACTAAATATCTTTTCTAGTCGTTGAATACAAATTATTCCGTTGTAGCAGTATAAAGAAAAATCTTTTAAATATGGTAATTTCAATGGTAAACTCTATAACAGAGAAGAAAACAGTCATCTTAGTAGTTGTATGTCTGTATATATAACATGAGCATAAAACATTTCATTTCTGACAGCTAGAGCAGAAAAGTGATACATTTAATACATTACCCAGAAGGTATGCTACTGAAAGTTTTCTGCATTCACTCGACCTCTAACGTACATAAAAGAAAACTCTTACTTTATAGTCATACCCAGTATCATCAACATTGTATCTGTTCGGCGAGATATCTCTAAAGTAAGATAATGTAGCCAATTCTACACTGAGATAATTTAATAATAGAAAATTGTCAAATATAATCAGAAGATCCTAGAAAGAAAGATAAATCTCAGCATCATTCGTTATTCATAGTTATACCACTTTTACCTTATAACTAAAAATGTGAATTGATAAATGCTGAATAAAATAGTTTTTTGATATAAAAGCATATGAATCGAAAGAAACGCCCACACATTTATTTAATAAAACATTCAGTCTCCTTAATGATTTCTTATTTGATTTGAACAGTACGTGTTCACACAGGAGAGATGAAAATTGTTTGAGAGAATGATCATCATTTTTGATAACTAATGAATAAAGAAAACATCTAAATAAACTTATTGTTAATTCTTGGAGATTTTGAAAACAATTTGAGTAGAAGTCATTGAAAAATGAACATAAATCAGATATATGATTCATTCCCGATAATTCTAAATATGTGACATTGTCAAAATATGGAAATGTTCGAAGTGAATTGAGTTGTTTCAGTTGTGTGTATGCAAGAGAATCATCAACTTTTAAAACATGGATATATTGACTGATTTTTTCTAATACTTTTGATTTAATTATAACATTGAATACATTAGAATTGATATTAAACAAATTAATATTTGATAAATATTTTTGTTTAAATAATATATAATCTAAACGTTGAGTAAGTTGAAAGAGTGAGTGAAGAACGTCACCAGATTTTAAATAATGGCACAGATCAATCAGACAAAGATCAGGTAAATCATTGAAAGTAGTCATCTAAAATGAACTGATAATTACAATCACTTACAAATATGGGAATCGAAAGATTTATCTTTCAAGTCCAATTCAAAAATATATTTGTTGACTATTTCACAGTTATAATAAAAATAGAAAGCTTTTTTTGGATACCATCTTTATTAGGAGACAATTGTCTTTCTCAATAGGATAGCATACTCTTTTTGTAAGAAGATTAAAAGAAAACAATAATAATTTCATAAGAGACGATGATATACACACCTTTAAATCATAACAAAACTTATATTTTTATATTCTCTCATGTCTCTAAATAGATTCAAAGATAGTTCTTTTCATCATATAACAATAAATAACAAACATTTTTCTTTCTTCGTGTTTCTCCATCCACGTCTACATTGAACGTTTGACCGATTATTATAATTGAGATGAACAATGCAGAAAACAGAATTTATTGGCTGAGTAGAAAACGGATAAGAGATTTGTTCGTCTGCTGACGACGTTCATCTACAATTGTCTTTTGTTCAGATATGTACGGTGTGTAGATTTGAATTGACAGCTCTCTCTCCTTTCCATTATAATAATCGTTGAAAAGTTCAATGTAGAAAGTGTATGGAGAAACAGAAAGAAGGAAAATGTTTGTTATTTATTGTTATATAACGAAAAGAATTATCTTTGAATCTATTTATACACATGAGAGAATAAAGGGTGTTCCATGATAACTGATGATAAATTGTAAATGATATTTTTCATACGTTTTCGTGACGTAGAGGGCTTAAATTTTTATCACATATATGTTTGATCAAGATCTTTTACTTCTGAAAGTTTGAGCTCTCTAGCTGAAACTAGTGGTAAAATGCGTCGAAAAGATTGAAATATATAAATTTTCGTACTCAATTTTGCGGGGTAGTTTCATGAGTAGTGAACCAAAAAATCACAAAGTATTCAGAAAATATTCTTTCGTATAGTCTCTGTAGAGCTCGTTTTGGTGATCATTTTGGTAAAAATCTTTTCGAATTTCATTATATAATACTAAATTAATTGTTGTCATAGGATTGGATTAAGATCGATGTTATGTCACGTACTAGAGTCGTGCCATACGAGAGAAGATTATAGTGAAGGTTATTGCGCAAGCATATAGTCTAAGTTATTGCGCAAGAATATATTCAAGGTTATTGCGCAAGAATACTCAATGCTACGGTGCAAGAATATATTCAAGGTTATTGCGCAGAGTCTGCGCAAGATGATCGCGCAATATTTCTTATATAAATAGATCAATTTATTTTTAAAAGGATATATTTTTCATTTTGTAAATAAACGTTAGGTGAGAAAGATCTTAGTTCACTCGCGAACCTAACATTGGTGC